TATCTCATTCAACATTTAACATAATTCTATTTTTCATCAGAACTCTAAAATCATGAAGGGGCAAAGACAGTCAGAAATAGCTGGTTTTCCATTATGGTTAGGTTAGGGCCAATCCTAGAATTACTGTATGTAAATGACAGAAAAGTATGTTGTCTTGTTACAAGTCTACAACCATATGAGAAAATACTTTTCTGTATTTATTGTTTTATATCTAGAGCTGCTGTCTTAATGGTCATTTTTTTTTTTTTGGCCAGCAAATAATGAAAAAGTTTCTCAAAAAATATTAACTGGTACACTTCTTTGGTTTTTGATGTGGAAAGTCTGTAAGGGTGGAGAAGATCACCTTCAGACTTGGAGATTTGATGGACACCAGCCTTATTATGAAAGAAAGGCTGAGAGTCCAGGAGATGGTGGGAAAGGGAATGAAACGGCTGAATCAAAAGTGTTTTCTTCTTTGCTAACAATCAGTTCACACATTGAAAAATATTTCTAATTATAATTTTTAATATATAAAGATGAGACATGCACATAACAGGCCACTTCATGAGTACGGTGACAGTAAAGCTCCCTAAGAACTCGGCATTTCTATGGGTGGATGGCTGTCATGGTGGCTTGTGACCTGGATAGAGTCTGTGGGCATTCTGCCACTAAACTCATTTCTCACTTAGAAAAAAAAGTACAGCTTGCTGCCAGCATTCTTTTAATTTTACAGAAACACATGCTTTGAGGCTGAAGCAAATCTGACTGGTTTTCAATACGAAAATAAAGTATAAAACTGTTCTTGGGCTGTCAATATATTACAGTGATGCAAATATCATAAAATTGAGATATTTCCTGGCAACCTTTGTGGAGGAAGGCTAGGACTGCAATCTGGGAGTTATCTCAGGGTAAAGGCCGCATCCACTCCCACCAGTGAGTATTATCAGGGCAAACAGGAAACGAGGTAATGGTTTTGTTCTTTCAAAGTCGTTCTTGCAGTTTGGGTCTTAAGTGCCTCCCAAAGGTCCATGTGGTCAAGGCAGGTTCCCCCGGGTGATGCTGTTGGGAGGTGCTGGAGCCTTTTGAAAGTGGGGCCTGGTGGGGGTTCCTTAGGTCTGCTGGGGTGTGCCCCAGAAGGGGACTGTGAGATACTGGGCTCTACTTCCTGCTTCACTTTCCTGCTTTGAGGTGAACAGTTTTGCTCTGCTACCTGCTCCTTCCAGGATATGTTAACTCACCCCAAGCACCAGCGCCAACCTTTCACGGACTGAAAACTTCGATGATGAGCCAAGACAAACCTCTTCTCTCTATAAGTTGATTATCCGAGGTATTTGCTACAGTAGTGAGAAGCTGGTTAAACAATCATGTTCTTTAAATATTTACACCTTGTTTTGAAGAGTGAGTTCTGTGAAGGAGAAAGGTAGAGGGGAATAGAGGCTCCTTTCCATCCCTGGCTTCTCAGATTTACTGGGACTAGAGGCTCCACTCTTAAGGGCTTGCCCACAGCAGCCTGGCCCACTCTTCTTGAAAGTCAGGTGGAAATAATGGCTCCTGGTGTCTCAGACCCCCTCAGTGTTCAGGCCCCTGCCTGAAGAAGTGGCATGGTGAATGCATGTTCCTCTATCTCATGGTATTTCCACAATTCTCCAAGTACCTCTGACAGAAGTGCCAAGCTCCTGGTGGATTCACCCTCAACTCAGCTCTGTTTCTGACAAGGTGTATTATAGGAAAGATAATCTTGTACATCAGGTGTTTCCTGTTTCCAGAACCAAAAAACCACATGTACTTACAAAGGTAAATATGGAAAATGATCGAAAGCTGTTACCACTTTAGCCTAAGTTGAGAAAAGAATAGTCTTTAAAGTCCTGTCTTTTCTTCTTAAAAATTCACTTTTTACCTCCATCTTAATACCTCTCCCAAGTAGGAGAGCACAGGTGAACTCCTACAGGGTGTTCCAGCCTGCATGCTATACTAAAGCACGTGAATAGGAGGAAAGGTGTGCGGGACATTACTTCTCAGGAAAGGAAGCAGCACTACTTTTATTTCAAAATTCATTATAAGCAAAGAGGTGAGACTTAGATCCATTTCCTGGAGTTACAATTTCTAGCTACATATCAGTCTCAGTAACATTTTACTATTAACAAAAATTAAAAGACTCAGGCATTTATAATGAAGGGATTTTGATTTATTTTATTTCCAAAGAAACTATCAATTTGATTCAGTAATACTTATAAATATTAAACAAAAATTCTTTCATCTTGTTGTACATTAATACTCAAATGATTATTTTTGGTGATCAAAAATCTTTTTATTGGGCTGGGGATTTAGCTCAGTGGTTTCACCACCTGCTGTGCAAGCGCAAGGACCCAAGTTCAATCCCTGCTACCAAAAAAACCTTTTTATTAATCTCAGTTATTAAGATATCCTGTTTTATTTTTAAATTTAAAAATCTGGGAAGGTACTAATAGTTGTTAAATTTAAGTCATGGCTATGTAAGTTTTTACTAAATTATTCTCTGTTCTGGTAAGTATGTTAGCTTTCATAATAAATAATAAAAGTAAATTAATGATTTTAAAAAAGAAAAAGTGGAATAATTTTTATTTTGAAATATATTTTTCTTTAGACATATAATCATAAAAATTCACTTTTACTTTAAATAAAAGTCACTTTCAGATATACTTTAATAATTTAAAAATTTCTTTTAACATTTTTATTTAAACTGATAAAATGCTTCATAAACTGATACATTTGTTTAGCTCCATTATAAGTTATCTTAGCCCTTTAAATTTTTAGGGATGCACACACATAAACATTTGTCAAACTTTCTAACACTTTCTGAGTTGTTAGAGATAGCAAATCTGTTTCTTTATGAATCACTTGCTGCTGGACTCATGGTTCACAGCCCTGGGTGCTACTCAGTGCTGAGAAGAGGTAACCTTGGAACAGGGTCAGAAAGTGGTCTGGCCAGGTAGGAATCACTCTGACAGCAATGCTGTCTGTGAGCCAGGCAGTGCTCTAGGTATGTGGGTGATGGGCCTTCCCTTTCAGGGGATTAATATAGATTGTAAACAAACAGAAGCAAACAGTAATCATTGCTATGAAGACAATAACACTGAATCTTGTGATAGTGACTGAGATGATGGAAGGATGTGTGTGTGTGTGTGTGTGTGTGTGTGTGTGTATTTGTTTTATTTCAAACAAATATTATTAGGACTCATCCGTGGAGTCTGATATGGGAGCCGATCCCACCCAGACTAGGGAAGGGATATTTCAAATTTTCTATTTCATTCATTTCTTTGTTTGCTTTCTCAAAGAACAGTCCAGGCAGTGACTTGTGAAGCTAAAATTGATTCCCTTTAAAAGCCAGAGTCCATTCTTGTGATGAGGGTGGGGAGGGAGAAGGACAGGGAGACAGATACAGCAGATCCTCACTCTGTACTAATTTTCATGTCTGTCACAAAGTATGTTTTTGACTTTTCTATGCATTCTCAAGTTATTAAAGTGAAATCTAAATTTAGCTCAAGTGCCTATGGTAGCAAGCATGGATGATATGTAAATATATACTCTGGATGAATAAAAATTAAAATAGTTGTCATCTAACTGGACTGTTTTCTATAGTTGAAAGTTAAAAATGAAAATAAGTGAGAGAATGGAAATCATTAAAAAGTTTTAAAAATGTCGAGTCTTTAAAAAGTGATTTAAAATAATTTTCAAAAAATCTTCTAGGCCTTTAATGAAAACCAGTCAGCTCATGTAGGGGGAACACCAGTGCTCAGACTCATTATCTTAGTTAGTTAGGTATGTGCATGCTCAGTCCCAGAGTTTCCAGTGCTGCTTCCCACCAGGGCTAGGGAGATTAATGCGGGGCAGCATCTGCACTTCCTGGGTCATTACTGCAATTAGACTTGTTCTCCTCAGGCTGTATTTGGGAAGGATTAATGTTTTAATGTTTATAGACTGCTACCATGATTTTATTATGGGCTCTGAGCCACAAGTTACTGAATCAGGGTCTCCTTAGGAAAAATTCTTCCTCCGCTAATCTCAAGAAAACATGTAGAGGGAGCCGAGCTCTTGGCATTTGAATCTTTGTGGGATGGGTGGGTCTCTTACTGGCAACACTGGGTCATCCGGTCAGAACACTTTATAACTAAGGGAAGAGGGCAAATAAAGTAAGGAGCCACCTCCTTGCATTGCCCACAAAAGCTTCTGTTGAAATCCAGTAATCCCCTACAAGGAGGGGCAAGTGGAGACAAAGAGTGAAGGAGGTGTGTGAGACAGAAGAAATGTGATAAGCAGCTCTCATTTGTTTACCTCTCTAGTGGCTTAGGAATGTAGGTTTTCTGAGGCCCAACAAAGAAACCAGGAAATCTCAACAGCTTTAAAGGTTGATTGTGAATATTTGGGTTTCTCTTCATTCACATTATTTAATTTGAAAACTCAATAGCTCTTGTAAATTTTGAAAAACAAATTCTCTTCACACCTGTGCTCTCAGCAGCAATCAGATAAAGGCTCCTCTCTTGAGTCCATGTACCATTTCAAAAGGGAAATGACCTAATCTGGGATTAAATAAAGCATAAATAAACACACCTTAACAGCTCACTGAGATTTAGATACATGTTTTCTGTTCACCCAAGTGTAGTTAATTTTAAAAGAAATCAACTCGCCAAGGGCCAGCCCTGAGGCAAATTAGAAATCTGGGAAGTTCTGGTTTAGGTGTCTTTCACATTTCACTGTGGGTGTTTTCCCTTCCTTCATGACAACCCTATCAGCACCTTTCCCTGTCCTAGGTGGGTACCCTCCAGGTAAACATGCAGGCATCTCATCCAACCCCTCACCTCTCCTCGCTGTGAGTTCTCAACTCACAATTCCCAACGTGGCTCTGTTCATGTTTGAACAAGTAAGGATAGAGGGAGAGGTTTGCTGGGAGGTGAAGTTCAGAGCTGAGGGAATGGAGTGAGGAGGTCAACAGTGGTCTGGAACTGCAGGGACTGAGGCTCCATCTCCCACCTTCTCACACCTACCTGTTGGGCAAAAGCCCCGCCCTAGTTTATCATCATCTTTTCACTCCTGTTGCAACCAAAAATGTTGCTGTTCCTGACTGGGGTCACGGGATTCTTCTTGTATTTCTTGATTTATCTCATTCATTAAAAAATCTTCAGAAAACTGGAAAGATTTTAAAACAAGTAAGTTAGAATCTAAATTATTGAAAACAGTGATTTAAAGTAGGTCCCTGTTACCCGGAGTATACCCTGTATTAGCAACATCACTACCATCTGGGAGGTTGTTAGAAAAACAGAATCTTGGGCCCATCCCGTCCCACAGTATCAGAAAATAATGAGATCCCAGTTATTTGTACACAGGTAAAGTCTGAGGAACACTATCCTTGCCCTTGATACATGCCTATGGACCGAGGATTTAGCTCAGTGGCATTGCGGCAGCCTCGAAAGCGCAAGGTCCTTAGTTCGATCCCCAGTACAAACAAACAAACAAACAAACAAAACATACCTGTTAAGGGCTTGAAGTATGGATTCTTTCCCGATAATACCGTGGGGACACAGAAACTGAAAGAAGTATTAAAATAGGATTTTCACATGGAGGAGCATTCTAATTTGGATTAGTTGGGTATTTTGGCCTATGTGGAAAGGGAATGCCATTACCAGAGTGTTACTGGTGTTAAATTTGGAGGGAAAGGGGAGAGGTGTGTAGACAAGATAGGTTAATTTCAAGGGGGGGAGTATTTCTCAGAGATCAGAGAAGAGGACTGTAGGGATGCTGTAGGACACAGCCAAAGTGAAGAAAAGAAAAAGTGGAGAAGAAGAGGAGGTCAAGTGTGTCTGTGGACAACAAGCAAGGCAGTGGTGAACACAGGTGTGCCTAGGACCTAGGTACACTTGACCGCATCACCCTTGTTCTGGAATTTGCTGGGTCTGTAGAAGGCTGTACTTTGGTCATCTGCTGGTTTTGTTATTAAATCATCCCAGCCTCCCTGGGACAAATTCTTTTTGTGTTTTATAATATGCAAAGCAGTAAAGTACAGAATGGGACTTGCCCTGTTTTGTTAATAATCATATGTTAGTGCTTTGGGAAAAATAATTTACAATATGAAAACTTGAATTATTATGGCTCAAAAAAACCCTGTGAAAATACAATAGGTGGATAGCTATTTGCATCTCTATTTGGTGGAGAAATTGATAAGATCCAGACATTTCTTATTTTCCTGTTAAAAATTAACATTCTTCTGTGGCAGGTGGTATTTCTTCTTCTTCTTCTTCTTCTTCTTCTTCTTCTTCTTCTTCTTCTTCTTATTATTATTATTATTATTATTATTATTACTGTTATTTGGTATTGGGAATTGAACTCAAGGTCTTGAGTTTGCCAGGCAGGTGCTGTGCTGCTGAGCTATATCCCTGGCCCATGAGCTACATACCTGACCTGGCAGGTGGTATTTTTATTTGTTTGTTTATTTTGTTTTTTTGGTACTGAGGATCAAACTCAGGTCCTTGTGCTTTCGAAGCAGGCAGAGAAACCACTGAGCTAAACCCCCGGCCCTGGAAGGTGGTATTTTTAAAAGATGTTAAAATGTTTCTCATCCGACATGTTTTCCTAAAATGTGACTCTGATGTTCTTTCCAAAAAAAGTAGGGATCTCTGTTGCTCCCTGTTGACCCTGAGCAGGGCTTTGATAACTACTGTGTATGTGCTGGAAATGATCCTGTGCGATTTTCAAAGTGGGGTGATAAAGAAAATTAAATTCTGCCTTTCTTGTTGGTATACTTTTCAAGTTTTAAGCCTCTCAGTAAAAAGTCACTCTGTGAGCAAGTTTAATCTAGCCAGATAGAGAAAGCAGACAGAGGGGGTCTGAGGGGGGGGGAGGAAGGAAGGAGAGGAAGAGGGAGGGAAGGAGAAACAGAGAGTGGGGGAGAGAGGGAGGGAGAGAGAGAGAGAGGGAGAGAGAGAGAGGAGAGAGAGGAAGGAGGAAGAGGAGGAGGGAAAGGGGAAGGGGGAGGAGGGGGTGGGGAGGGAGGAATTAGAAGAAGAAAATAAGAGAAGTTAGCCAGGTCTTGGATAGGCCTTTTCCATCACAGAGAGACTTTAAGTTAAAACCAATTTAATACATGACTCACAGAAACCCTGAAATAACATACAGAGCAAAACAAAAGATAGAAAATAGGAAAAGGAGATAGATCTTTCTTAGATGGGAAGGAGAGCCTGACATGGGAGAGGGCAGAGAAAGAGAAGGGATGAAAAAACAAAAGAAATTAAGATGTGTTTTGTACAGGTACCAACTCCTTACAACGAATGTAAACATATACTGCAAACCTACAGAAATGAAAAAAGAGAAGATAAAATAATTTAAAGTCACGAAATGACTACAAATATTTTATTACCTCCTGTCCAACAACATTTTGTGATTTCACGCCAGTTTTTTGTTAAGGCATCTAAAATGAAGAGGGCCTAGACCAGGTGGTAAGGAAGCTCTTTAAAGAAAGGACAGACTTGGAATTCAGCACAGGAGAGAGCACTGCCCTTCAGCACAGTGCAAGAAGAGAATAAGGAAATCATTTATGCAAAAAACACTTTCATTGAGGCTGATTAGAGAGTGAAGGAAATTAAGTTTTAAAAGGTGGGCCATTATTAAATTGCAAGTTGGGTTATGTTTTTCATCTGTGGACAAAGAGAACTCATGCTTCATTTTGTGTACAGAAATGGGGCAGGTGAGGGTGGTGCTGGCCTAATTACTAGGTAGCGTGGCTCTGATTCTGCACACTGTGAAATGTGTCTGATAAACATCACTGTGAATTGCATCTGAATATAATAGTCAAATACAAAATAAGCTTAGTCTTCATCATTTGTTTCTTATGCAGCAAGAGTGTCTGCTCACACTTTATAAAAACAGAGGGAAAGAATATTGCTCACAGCTGTATTTGGTCCACTGTTATACTCCTGAGATTTCACTCCTTTTTTCTATTTTTATAACCCATCTTTATCACTTTCATTTCTTTCCCTTTCTCCTCTTTGATTCTGCTGCAGCCGTATCCAATAAAACATGGTGACAGATAGATAGATCTTACAGGCAATCTGCTGATTGCTGTCTCTGTAAACCTCAAATGTAAACAATACAAGGGCATTTGTTTCTCTGTCATGTTTCTTTTCTTACATAAAGATGAAGAACCAAATCAATCTTAGGAAAAAATAGTATGTTGTGGTTCCTTCCTGGTTGACTTTTTGGTAGCCATTTTCCCTTAAAAAGTCTGAAGCAAAATGATCTTTCATGTTTTCCCAGGGACAAAAGAATTTCAATTTTTCTAATTTTCTAAATCCTTGGTGAGGAGATTCTAGGGAAAGAAGTCAAAGTCCTAGCTACTGAAGTTTGCTAGGCTTTTTTTCTTCTTATAATTCTATGAAGCAGTCTAGACAGACTAAGGCATTAAAGTAACATCAAAAATTATTGTATATGAAATATTCAAGAATCTACTCAGTACTTGGTGTGATAAAAAATCTAAATGTGAAATATTTCAGTATTTTGAAAAGAATCATGATCTTAACAAAATGGCTGAAGACCTCCCTTTTTAAATGACTCACCACCCACCCCCAACCAATAATTGCAATGGATACAGAAAAAACTGAGTTCAGCATGCAATGTGTTGCTTCTTAGTTTGATTTTGCCTGTATAGAAATCCACCTTTCTCAGGATCAGGGAGCTCTACCTGCATTCTAGTGTTTCCTTTACTTCTGAATATAACATCAGTATTTGTACTTTTCACAGCTGGAAAATGCATTCTTTCTTCAGTAATGTAAGGCACAGAAATTATGCCTATGTGGTCAATAGCAAGTGAGCACTGCCATCCCTTGTGAAGTCAGAGAACAAGGATCCAGACAGTGTTACAGATGGATAATTTAGGCACCGTAGGACCCCTTGGGGTTTGTACTGCTGGAAAACATTTTCGGCCTCAAGTAATAAAAATGACGGACAGTCACTCAGCCTACGTGGAATTGTATCCTGTCATCTTTACTCAGCAAAATCTCCCTCTGAAAGCAATTGGGGGTTTTAGACTGAGAATGGACCATAGAATATGCCCCTTTAAGTGAAGAAAACAGAGCTAATGTTTAGCTGAGCAATTCAAGAAAACATTTCAGTGACATGTCTGAAAGAGTGTGGAAATGTCACTATTTCCTTTAAAAGTGCATCATCACTAGGTATCATGGTAGTCACTGGTTTGTTTCTGAGGGTGGATTTGACTGGCTTATTCATAAAATTCCAGAGAAAATGCCTTTTCTTTTCCTGACAAGTCTATTAAGAACCTCATTCTATCATCATATTCTGGCTAGTTGATGTCATTTTGAAGTACCAAACAGGGATTTGAAAATAATACTCTCTATTCAGTTCTCTGAGGATACATGCTTAAGTACTTATTCCAACAATGATTTCACGTTGCAATGAATGTGGTAGTTGGAACTCAAATGTTATTCCCACAGAGGAAAGAGAAAACTATAACATTCCTATGAGGGAAAGACATGTTGGGAAAAATGAGAATCAGACCCTGGCTCCTGATTTATGATCTAAATGTGAAGAAGGGTTCTCTTTTCCTCTCTTCCTCTGTCACCTAGGCATGCCAACGTCCTTCAAATGATGATGGTACCAACTATGTAGCTAGAATCCTAATCTTACATACCATCATTGTGTGATGGGAAAAATAACTCCCAAACTGTTAGACATTAGATGTGCCAAGTTAGTGATCTCACAACATGGTGGAATGAAGTTGTGAACCAAAAGGATGAAATAATAATAAGAATAGCTCCTGGGTTTCCAGGAGGGATCCTGAGTGGGTGGCCACATGGCTTTGCAATCCAGAGCTAATTATATATAAGCAGAGCACAGGAATTTCTCAGTTGTTTAGTGGCCACTGATCACAGGTGGCTCTTGGATTTAAAATGACCAGGCTCTCTAACCTAGTTCCTCAGCATGCAGGGTTAAAAAGAAACAGATTTTAGAGAAAAACTGGTTATTTCACATTTTAAGTTCCTCAGAACTCTGGAACTTAGTAGGGAGTGGCTGCATCTGCCTCCATGTTGTCTGAGCAAGTTCATCCTGGGTCCAAAGTCCTAGTTGACTGTCAATTCTTATTTTAATTCTTAGCAATCTGGCTGATTACCGAACTCTATCTCAGGACCTTCCCCTAGCTAGCTGCCTTACTCAAAAGCTAACTAAACAAACTATTCTTCACATTTGCTCTTTTATTAGCCAAATATACTTTTTCTAAGTAAAATTTCTATCATTTTCTTTTGGTACCTTTTAAAGTTGAAGGCAGATGATTGATTGCAACCCTTAAGATACTCTTAAGATTTCTGATATATA